TGTGTTAGATTTGTGGGTTTCAATTAAAGAAGAGGTGGATCGAGAGGATATACCAGTTGATGGTGAAGCCCAAGGTCCATTTAAAAGCCAAAATTTGAAGACCCCACAAATAGTGTCTGTAATAATTTAACTGAGTTGTATAATGACAGTCAATTCAGCTTTCAAATTTAATTGTAATAACTGGGACATTATTTATACTTTTATTTTTGTTGATTTATAGATGCAAGCATATGTTGATTTGTTTACTTAATTGCATAATAGAAAAACATGCTTTTTTTTAGGTTTCTTCTTTTATATTTCTTGGGGGTAGCCTAGACATGTTGATGTTTTAGGACAAAACTAATTTTTTCACTCATTAAAATGTTAAGTAATCTACAATCAACTTTAGGCTCTATAATTTTCTAATATAAGAAAATTGCATGGCTCCCTTAAAGGAGTCAAGTTTTAAAAAAATTAAATTGATCATGCATCACATATAAAACAACCTTCACTTAAGGATCATATAACGAAAGAATCTGCATTTGTGAGTCAACATTTTTGCATACCCCACATGATCAGACATCTTGGCCTCAAAGCCAAGTTGTAAGCCATATCTTCTAAATAAAAACAACTTCCCTACTCTTCATATGCATTGAAACCATATGTAATTATTTAAAAAAAAGACTAGGCGGGTAACGGGTTAGCTAGTAGTCCTTTCCAGAAAGGACTATCAATTCAGAGGTCGGGTTGGCTATACCTTATATGAGGTATAGTTTAGAAGATCCTTGCACTCTGTTAGACTTAGGGCCAATACACTACCTCTCAGTAGTCCTCACTTTAGCTCTAGGATCTGAGGCAATGGTTGATTTCAATCACCTCATAAGCCTTTACCTTTCGGGCATTTTCTTCAACATGTGTTGTTAAATAGTTAAATACATTGAAGAATGATTTATAAAAAAATTTGTAATAACTATATATATGTACCCATCGCTACAGTACAAAACATCAGTTTCTCTTTTTTCGACATTGTGAAGCAAGTTGGTGGCAAAAAACAAGAACCATCTTCAAGAATTTGTGGATACAGCTCACTTTTAATTCCAATGTCAACTAAATCTTGTCGTGCTTTCAAGTTATCTTTAGATTTATCAAGATTAAGTAAAGTGCCAATGAAATTATCACATACATTTTTTTCAATATGCATGACATCAAGATTGTGTGGTAGTAAATTATACTCCCAATAAGGTAGCTCAAAGAAAATTGATTTTTTCTTCCAAATATGATGCTCACTGAATTCTACAGTATGCCCTCTTTTCAAGCTTCTAGATTTGCCCAAATGAAACTGAACATTTTGTAATTTTTGTAAAATATTACTACCAGTATTCCTTCTAGGTGCTTTACGGATCTCTTCTGTATTATCAAAGTACTGTTTCTGTCGACGGAATAAGTGATTTTCTGGTAGCCAACGACGATGACCCATATATGAGAATTTTTTTCCCTTATATAACCATAAAGCCTCTGTATTTTCGGCACAACAAGGACAAGCAAATCTACCTTTAGTGCTCCAACCAGAAAGCATACCATAAGCCGAAAAATCATTGATCGTCCCCATTAATGCAACTCGTAAGTTAAAAGATTGTTCAGATGCTGCATCGTAGGATATGACTCCATGCCATAGTTCAGACTACTCATTTATTAGTGGTTGGAGATAGACATCTATATTATTTCTTGGACTCTTCTCCCCTGGTATAATAGTAGATAAAATAATAGACGTTT